TCTTAAGAAAATTACATAATGGGCAAACACAAATTCGAGATTGGTTACTATATTCTTCCTCAAAAAATGCGTTATTCTGTTTTCATTGTGTTCTATTTTCCAAAGGAAAATCTTTATTAGGAAATATACAGTATGGTTTAAAAAACTGGGCCAAATGTTATGACAAAGTTCAAAAACATGAAAAAAGTCCACTTCATTGTGAATCCGTGAGGATTTGGTATTTGAGAACACAAGGGGCCAAAAACAATTCGATTGATAAAGTGTTAAAAGAAGAAATGTATTCTAAAATATCATACTGGACCCAAGTTCTTCGTCGTGTAGTATCAACAATTACGTTCTTGGCTGAACGAGGACTTTCATTTCGAGGTAACAATAGTGAATTTGGCTCTGTGCATAATGGTAATTACATGGGATGTTTGGAACTAATTGCTCAGTTTGATCCATTTTTATGTGAACATATTGCTAAATATGGAAACAAAGGGAGAGGTAATGTGTCATATCTATCTTCAATAATATGTGACGAATTTATTCAACTTATGAATAATTCTGTATCTGATAAAATTGTGAGTGAAATCAATGAATCTAAATATTTTTCAATAATTGTTGATTCAACTCCTGACATAAGTAAAACAGATCAATTGACAGTGGTCATACGCAATATAACTCCAACTGGCGAGTCTAAAGAAAGATTTTTAGCATTTCTGCCATCAGTAGGACATAAAGGAGAACAAATGGAATATGCATTAATAAAAAAATTCAATGAGTTGGGTATTGAACTAAAAAATTGCAGAGGACAGTCTTATGACAATGCCTCCAATATGTCTGGTGTATATAAGGGACTTCAAGCTCGTATAAAAAAGTATGCAAGTAATGCGGTTTTCGTACCATGTGCTGCACACTCACTCAATCTTATTGGCTCCAATGCTGCTGAATCTTCAAAGGAAGGTACACAATTTTTTCATACTATTCAAATGGTTTATACATTTTTATCATCATCAACGTACAGATGGGAACTTCTTAAAAGCATCACTGACAAATGTCCGTCAAAATCTACAACTGTTCCAAAAAATTTATGTATTACTAGGTGGTCCTCACGACATGAATCTTGTGAAGGAATATTATCTGGATATAAAGAAATATTAGAAGTTTTAAAAATATTATCAGAAGATATAACTCAAACACCGTCAACAAGAAATGAAGCAAATTCAATAAGGAAAAAATTGGGAAAATTAGAGTTTGTTTTCATGTTGAAAGTATGGACCCCAATATTACAGAGATTCGATGCTACAAGCAAAACACTACAGTCAAAAGATATAAATTTATCTATTGTTGTTTCATTATATGAATCATTAGAATTGTATGTACAAGATTATAGAAAATTATTTGATAACATTTTGAACAAATCTAAAGAACTATGTGGAAAATTAACATTTTCATGGGAAAAATCAAGGGTTATAAAGAAGAAAAGACATTTTGATGATTCAAATTCTGTAGATACTATACATCGTGGAGATGATAAAATGAAGAATGATACTTTTTATGTTATAATTGACACTTTATCTTCAAATTTAAGTGAAAGGAAAAAAGCATATATAAATGTCCATTCAAATTTTGGATTCTTAAGTAGTTTAACTAATTTAGATTCTTTGACACTACGCAAAAAGGCATTGCATATTGTAAATATATACAACCAAGATATAGATACATCATTTATTGAAGAAATAGTCCAATTTAAAAAAATTGCTATTTCATTTTCAAAAGAAGATTTAACAATAAACGGTTTATTCCAAAAACTATCCAACTCCCCTTTGGCATTAACTTTTCCAAATGTTTTAATTGTCTTAAGAATATATGCATGTATGCCATGTTCTAATGCAAGTGGTGAGCGATCATTTTCTGTCCTTAAAAGAATTAAAAATTACCTACGATCAACACTTTCA